CTGAGCCGAAGTCAGACGCTTAACCGACTGAGCCACCCTAGGCACCCCATAAAATGGCAAATATTTTTAATGTTAATTTTTTTTTTTCTTGAGAGAGCATGAGCAGGAGAGGAGCAGAAAGAGGTGGAGACAGAGGATCCAATGCTGAAAGAGAAAAAATGGCAAATTTTATGTTACACACAGTTTACCACAATATTTTTAAAGTTTTATTTACTTAAGTAATCTCTACACACAGCATGGGACTGGAACTCAAAACCCTGAGATCAAGAGTCACATGCTCTTCCAACTGAGCTGGCCAAGCACCCCCACAATTTTTAAAAAGCAGTAACAAAAGGGGGAGTGGTTAATAATAGTACTGACATTAAAAATTACAGAGAGGGGCGTTTGGCTGTAGAACAGGCAACTCAGTGTCAAGGTTATGAGTTAGAGCCCCACATTGCATGTGGCGCCTATTTAAAAAAAAAAAAAAAACCTTTAATGGGGCACCTGGGTGGCTCAGTCACTTAAGTGACCCTTGATTTTGGCTCAGCTCATGATCTTACAGTTTCATGAGTTCAAACCTGGAGTCAGGCTGTGTGCTGACTGTGCAGAGCCTGCCTGAGATTCTCCCTCTCTCTCTGCCCCTGCCCCACTCAGCTCACATACTGTCTCTGTTAAAATAAACTTAAAAAAATTTTTTTTAATTATGGAGAGGATTAAATGGTTTAATTCCTACAAAGTGCTTAAAGGAACCCTTTGAATGGGTTAAAACCTTAAAGCTTATGGTAAGGCAAAAAAAAAAAAAAAAAGACCTTAAATCTCAGCCCCTCCTTCCTTTCCCTCCCCAGGCCACAAAAGAAACTTGCAGGAAACAGCAGTGAGCTAGACTTGTTACAAAAAAGCCTAATGGATGAAAAAATGTATATACACAGTGGACAGGAGGGCAAATTGATACAGCCTCTCAGAGCGACTTTACAATATGTATCAATAACTTTAGAAACGGGTGCCTGGGTGGCTCAGTCGGTTAACTTCATGATCTTGCAGTTTGTGGGTTCGAGCCCTGCATCGAGCTATGTGTTGACAGCTAGCTCAGAGCCTGGATCCTGCTTCAGATTCTGTGTCTCCCTCTCTCTTTAATCCTCCCCTGCTCACGCTGTCTCTCTCTCTCTCTCAGAAATAAATAAAACATTAAAAAAAAAAAAAGAACTTTAGAAACATACATTATATACCCTCTGACCTAGAAATGTCATCTTCAAGAATTTAGCATAAGTAAATGATGGGTCTTTGCAAAAAAATAGCTATAGGGATCTTCATCACAGTATTTATAATAAAGAATAATAGGAAAAAATTGAAAATGTGTCCCAAGGGGACCAGTTAAATTAATGGATGTCTGCCGGGATGCCTGGGTAGCCAACTTCGCTCAGGTCATGATCTCATGGTTCATGAGTTCAAACCCTGCATTGGGCTCTCTGCTATAAGAGTGGAGCCCGCTGGGGATCCCTGCCCCCCTTCCCTTTATAAACATTATTAAAATAGTATTGGATATCCTTATGATGAAACACAACCATTAAAAATTATGGTAGCAAGATGGCCCATCCCCTCCACGTCCAGAGCAGGCCCAAGGTGCTGCTGGTCACACTAGTCCAGTGCTTGGCACAAAGCCAGCACCACCAGGACGCGGAGATCTCCCAACAACTGAGGGGGCGGAGGCTGACTCTGCAAGCAAGAGAGGGCAGAGAGAAAGAAGCAGGGGCCTAGCCCTGCTGATGACTTAAAAGTGTGACCTGGGGCGTGTCCTCCTGTTCTGGGCCTCACTACCTCTCTCTCTTTTTTTTTTTTTTTTTTTTTTTTTTTACAAATAGTTTATTGTCAAATTGGTTTCCACATAACACCCAGTGCTCATCCCCCCAAGTGCCCTCCTCCATGCCCATCCCCCACCACATCCATCAGTCCTCAGTTTTTGTCAGCATTCAAGAGTCTCTCATGGTTTGCCTCTCTCCCTCTCCCCCACCATTTCCCCCTTCTTCTCCCCCATGGTCCTCCGTCAAGTTCCTCCTAATCCTCCTATACGTGCAAACATATGCTATTTGTCCTTCTCTGCCTGACTTATTTCGCTCAGCATAACACCCTCAAGGTCCATCCATGTTGCTACACATGGCCAGATTTCATTCTTTCTCATTGCCATGTAGTATTCCATGGTATAGGTAAACCACATCTTCTTGATCCATTCGTCCATTGATGGACACTTAGGCTCTTTCCATGTTTTGGCTATTGTGGAGAGTACTGCTATGAACATTGGGGT